TAAAATATTAAAAAGGTCACTGAATAAAAAGTAAGTTTAAAATACCAACATATTCATTTTTATACTAAATATACTGAAGATAGAAACACTGAACATTTTCCAATTTATTTTATTAAGATGGTATAACTCTTCTACTAAACAATAGACAATAAATAAAACTGCATGCCAATTTCACTTATAAAATAGATATAAAATCTTCAATAGAATACTAGTGTAACAGATTAGTGTAACAGATTATTTAAAATAATCCAAATGACCAAATGTATTCATTTCAGAAATGTGAGGAATGTTATATCAGAAAAAATATATTAATGTGACATAACACATTAACTACTTAAAAAAGATAAGCTACATTATCTTCTCCAGAAATGCCAAAGCAGCATTTTGGATTTATTTAGTGTATACACTCCTTAATATTTCAAAAAATAATTTGATTATAGAAACTCTTCTCTCCCAAATCATATGCTAATCTTTCCCAGAGTACTAATTTTCATTCTATTTGCATCATCTCTAAGTTTCTCCCACTATGTTCATCTTCTTCTAGTCTTGTTGGATAAAGGAGAGTAAAAAATATCATAAACAGTTTGATATTGATATAAGAATTGTAAAATACCAACACTATGCATTAAAATTTTATATATGATTTGGAGTATTTAAAATCACTGAAGAAGAGGGCAGCTTTTTAAATCAACATTATTTGGACAGTTAATTTAAAGAGTTGGAAAATGATAGTTACATTGTCTTACCACATCTTTTATTTAAATAAATCCAAGATATATTAAAGATATATTAATACAATTAAAATTAAATAATAATATCATTAGGAGGGATCATTAGGCAACATTAGGAAGATGAAAGTGTCTCTTATGTAGAATAAACAACTTTTTGAATATACAAAGAGAGAAAGGTAAAAAGCATAAGCAAAAATGTTAGTAGTTAAGATAGCATAAATGTTAAAAAGAAAGTATATGTCTACACCTAAATGAAAAGAAAAATGATTATGTTTGGAGACATTGAACCACATCTTATACATAAATTATTAATAAGCCTAACATTTAAATAGCTTTTATATTACCACCAACATGAGAAAAATTTTTCTGTATGCAAGTAATTCATAAAAGAAAAAAATATAGCCATAGAGATGGTCTATAAACATGCAAAAATGATCAAAGGAATGTACCTCAAATTCACATTGAGACATGATTTTCACCTCACATTGTAAGTTTAAGAGAGAAAAAGCATCTAGTATCTAGTGAAGTTTGAATACGTTAGAAGGCAAACCCATGCATCCAAATGAAGTGTAAAATAATGCAGCTTTTCTAGGCCACTGGAAAATTTGAAAGTATTAATATAAACCAAAGGGTCTTAAAAATATCCAGTATCTCATTGAATAACCTCAATTAAGGAAAACACTTGCAACATATGTTTCAGTAATTCCTTTTATGAATGATCAAGATATGTGACAACATTCATTTATGAAAATGCTCGCCGTGGCATAATTCACATTAGCTAAATTTATATTTCTGTGATCAAACAATATTTTGCTTAAATACATTGTGAAAAGTCCATAAGGAGATACCATTCAAAAATTAAATGTAATCTATTAGAAGATGCCATAAAAATTGGAAATTCCTCAAATATATTTTTATAAGAAAACAACAGACTTTATCCCATAGTTAATAGAAGTCAGAAGGATATACACAGACTGTACATATTGTACATCCATACAAACTCCTACATAGAGATACACCTCTTGCATTTCCACCGTGAGAAATTTCTACCTGATCTTTTCCTTACTATGGTGCTTGATTTTTCTCCCTCCTTTCTTCTCTTTTAGATAAAAGTTCCCCTTTCCATTTTCCGTCCATCCATTTCCTCCTCTCAACTGTCGGATACAATTTTTTTAATGCAGAAGTTTTCAGCCCTCAGCCCTCCTTTTTTCCTTCTGCTTTCTTTCAATTAAGAACCTTGTCTTTTATCCATATATAATCTTCCCGAGAAATTCCTCCCTCAATGAGCCAATTTATTTGTTATAAACAGTACACCTTTTTAAATATGGAAGTCAGGCATAGTGTCAGGTTTTCTGTAAAACATTTAATATACATTTTTCTTTATTGCTTTCATATAGAAAACTATGCTAAAGCAAAAGTCACAAATGCAAAGGGATGCTTATAAAGATGTTCATCAATGTTGTTTATAATTCATTTTTAACATATGAAATAACCTAAATGTCCTTCACTTAATTAATAGGTGTTTCATAAAAATATATTTATATTATATATTGTCATATACATTATATATAATTATGTATAACAATATGCCTATATCTTAGTGTGGTATAATGTATATTAACAGTACATATAACATGATAGATATAGATATACATACATCTACACACATAAACACAGCATGCACACATACACTGGTTGGCAAGGGGTTAATGCAAACAGATCAATCAACTGGCTTGGGATAAGATCTAGGAGTTTCTAGTATTTAATATCCAACCCAGATAATTATTATCATTGCTCAAGTTTGATAAACATTAAATTAGTTTGACAAGATTAACTTATATCTAATATATAACTGAGGCCAACTGTTCTGAGAGAAGTAGTTTCCAAATTTGGAGGAAGGGTGAGGTGGGCAGTTTCAGATCACAAGGGACAGGGGTGGAAATTTGATTTGGGAAGCGACTTAGGGCAAAGTGAGCACATTGGGTACTTGAGAACATAAAGAAAATGATAGTGAAGTGAATAATGGTGAAGAATAGGTGGATATGTACCAAAAATGTTTCAAACATTTTAATTTTTTCTCTCAGAGTGGTATTGAAAAAAATAGCCTTTTTTTTTTTTTGTCCACCTTTTATCCTCTGCTGTCTGTAATGTCCAGCCTTTGAACCAGTACTGCATGATTTATAAACAGGGCCCATTTGGGTTGAAATAGTCTACTGCGGGATATTCTGGTATTTTATTCACAATCATAAAATTATTCCATGTAAAGCGCATTCTAGAGTTTGAGGAGTTTCTCCTATCAACATTTGAAGCACAGCTTTTTAAAGTTGATACCACCTACAACTTTATTTTTACCATGTAATTTAGCTACCTTCTTTCTCCTCCTAAAAATTTGAGAATATGTATATATGGCTCATTCTTTAGCATTCAACATATATATGCTCTTAATCACAAGTGTCATAAAATGCCATGATGTGTAACAGTATTTCCCTGTCATTTCTCTGATAGGCAGGGAAGTTATTTGAGTTTAACGTCTCTTTAAATTTTACATTTCCCCAAGGGATGTAGTAGCTGATTGTAAGGCATTGTAAGGCAAGATGACTAAATTAGAAAAAGTGTAACAGAATGTCATAAAATCTAGTAGAAATTTTCAAATTCGGGCTTCCCACATAAAAGCAAAGTAAGCTCAAAAGGCTGAGTGTCTCAGGACTTGTCGACAACCTGTTAAGAGAGTTTAATCCTTCTCTGAAAAAAATGAAAGTGATCTGTGTTAAATTTAGATTTCTGTATTAAGTCGCTATACTGAACAAGGCCACATCATGTTTTTAACTATCCTTTTTTGCCAATCTTTTGACCAGTTATGTTAAATGTTTAATTTTAACTAGGCAGTATAATTCCTTACATTAATATTTTACCCTAAGGCAATGGGCAAGTAGGCAAATATGCTTTACAAATGTTCTTTGCAACACTGGTTATAATAAAAACAAAAATATTCTAAATACATAATTCACCTTTTAAACAGTTTACTATGAATTACAGTGTATTTAATTTAATTTAATGTACTATAAAATAATTCTATACATATATTTATTTGTACCTCAAATGGTAGGCAATTAATTAGAACCCCATGATGATTCCATTTCTAGGTCTTTGCTGAGTTTTTAGTTGTGATATCGTATCCTACTTCAACATTTAGTAACCTCTCATTTGCTACCCTCTTTTACTATTAATGTGGGAATAAAATAGTGTCAGCTCTTTGTACTTGTTTAACATTAGGTGCTATTTATACAGTTTAAAAAAATTGTGAATTGTTTGATCAAAAATTTTTTATAAATCACACTTGGGAAAATCCCTTCTCAAGTCTTTATTTGTAGCAATAGTTGACTTTTTTCATCAGTTAGCACACAACATTTCTGCTTCTTACATATTTGTTTTTGTAGCAAGAACTCTGCAAAAGAAATATATTTTCTTTGGAGTTCACCCACGAGAATGAGAATTGCCTTAATTTTCTTCTATTCTCTCTGTTTCTTCTCTCTCTCTACTGTTTCTACATATATAGAAAGAGATATGTACATATACATTTTATACATGTATATACATATAAAATGTTCTTTGTGTTGTTCATTTATGGTTTTCATTTGTGTTGTTCAGTTAATTCACTTCTATCTGTCATTCTATTGAAAGCAGCATTAATTAATTCAAAATTACTAAGTTACTTTCACTAGCTCAATGGTCCTCATTTCTATGATAATATCTGTTTCTGAATCTTGTTTTCACTTCAAATTATGTTTCTTTTTCTGACATATCTTCCTTGTCATTTAAAAAAATTTTTTTCTTAAATTTCGTAGAAAAGATAACTCTTCAGATTATCTGTAACTTCTAATTTGGTCCTCTCAATTGTTTATTCTAACTTCTTAGTTTATGATTTCCTTTGCCCTTCTAAAATCAATAATCGAAGGACCAACAAATATTGCCTTTATTTTCTGGTGAAATACTCCTTTTTTCTCATCTTTTTTATTACATTTACATAAAATATATTTTAAAATAATCATTGTGAATACATTTGTAATATTTATGTGTTTATATTAGAATTGAAGACAACCAGACTAAGAAAGCAGCAATGCCAGAGTCTTAGTGGAGACAAAGATTAAAAACTGGAAGTCTTGCCATGTTTATGCCACATTAAATTTTCAAGATTTAAGTACCACCTCATAGGGAGTATATCAGACTTTATCTAACTTCCATATTTGCTTGCTCCTGCTTACCTTCTAGACGATTTGCCTAGCGAAGATACCTGGATGCCACAGTGCCTCATCTCTTAACACTTGGCTGTATCAGCTTGAGCCTGCCGTAAGGTAAGATGGTCTACAAGGACCACATTGTGACTCCTTAAAGGGAGCAGCTGCCGTTCTGGCTTGCAGGTGCAACTCAACATGACCCTGAAGTTTTTGGCACTGCTTACTGCTGAGAGACTCCCATGAAGCATCCTACTATGGAATGTGGCTTTCCTAGTGGCTTCCTGGAGGGAGCAGGTAACTAATTTAAAACAAACAGAGAATTTGGGTCTGTGAGAAACAGAGGACAAGAAGGAACCAGCAATAGCTGGTTGGAGGCATGATGATCCCATATGGTTAGTCTGATGATACCTGATGTTATTGAGCATTGAGCTTAATTTTCTTGTAAAACTTTGACTGGCTAGGCAAAGTATCACCTTGAATTAGCTTTTCCTCTTCCTTTGTTTTATTCCTTTGTTTTCCCCTTACTCTTCTTGCCTTGGGATTGCAAATCTTCCTCATCCTCTTGTTCCACAAAAATACGTTAACATGTAAACTTTGCCTCAGGCTAAAGGAGCCTGGCTAAGAAGTTATATTTTTCCAGTGGGTGAGAGGTGGGAACATTTAAATTACTGATATAAATATATAATATGTACCATGGATTGTCAGTTCCTTACATGTCCTTACATGTCTATTAGGTATATTTAAAGGGCTCTTCAGCCAACAGTGTATGAAAAAGATTGGGTGAACTAGCTTAGTCAAGTTTTTTTTTTTTTTATTTAATAGCCTAAAATAATTTTTTCCTTAGAACATCCACAGAGACTAGTATATCTGGAACACATCATGACAAACAACATTTAGATAGGAGAAATAATAGGAAATCCAATTCCCACAGGATCCAGGGAGGTAATGTGAATAAGCACAAGAACCTGGCAGTATACTTTCCCCAGCTAGCCTAGAGTACCTTCAGTGGAGGGTAGTGTATATGAATATGGGTGCTTTATGGCTAAACCTACCAATTTTTCAGGATAAAGCAAAAAATCTATATTTGTTTAAAAATATGAAATCTTCTAATATTAAAAATGTTGGCACCACATTCTAGTTTTTAAAAGTTATTTCATGATCCAAAGAAAATATGCCTGTAATCTGGGTCAGAACCCATGGTTGGTGAGTGGTTAGAATATCCTTAGGGTGTGCTGATCAACTGGCTATGTTCTAGGCACTGAAAGTTGGAGAAAAAAGGGATCAACATTCCTGACTTCAAGGAGTTCACAATATATTTTTAGAAAGAAGTCATAACACATATATTTCAATTCAATGTATTTAGGATCTAAGATATAACAGGCAATGCATACTACCTTTAATGAGCTCCCCTTATGTTGGGGTCAATCGGAAGATAAACATGTGATGATATATTAGCTTTAAAAGTATTCTAAGTTAAGTCTGTACAATATTCTATAAAATACACAAAGAAAATGTCCTGACCTCTAGAAACATACATTTTATAAATAATCTGCCCCACATGTCTACTTTTGTATTTAATATAAGTTTATGAATAACTTTGATTTCATTAAGTTTTGTAGACTTGTCTGCAAACAGTTCTTGGTGTGTATCTATTGAGAAACTAAATTTTTTTTTTAGATTAAATTGTCATAGCTCATCTGATTATTCCTATTTGACAATGCCTTTCATTAGCCTTTAAGAAAATGAGAAAATTTGATTTAGCTTCTTTTGAAAGCCACTGCCTATTTTGAACACTGAAGGAGAAGGCAATGACAAAAGTTGTATTAGGAAAAAGGAGACTTTATTAATTATAAAATTTCTTCATAATAGAGAAAACAACCTACTCTTGATAAATACTCATAAAATCTTTACTTTTTGTATGTCTATAGGAACAAATTCAGTTATTTGTAACTATGCAAATAATTTTGAAAAGCCTCAAAAATCAAGAATTACTTTTAAGTTCTAAATTTGAGACATGAAAGTCATTTGGATTAAAAAGTGGTATGATCAGTGGTATTGCAAACAAGTTCTTAGATCATGGTTTCAATAATTTGTCTTTCATCCTTGCACTGTCTTAATAAAGAAGAATGGGGGATAATGACTTATGGAAAAAGTTCAGGATTAAGTAGAACAGTAAATTAGACATTTATCTTTTACCATTGGAAGCCTCATTTCAGACTCATTTTAAGTCTCAGTAGAGCTCTAGCTAAAAGTAAACCTCATCGTATTTCACATTGCCTGCCCAGCTCACAGAACTCTGCACCTAAAGCATTCACACTAAAGTACCATATTTCCCAAGAGGCCTGATTCCTATGAAGGTCAGCATTAAAAGCGTTAGAAAGAATCTTTCTTATACTTTTATATCTAGTTTTTGCAGGTATGTATAACCTCTTATTCTGATCATCCTGCAGTGGACATATACCTTAAATAATTTTATCCCCTTGATCAGTCTGAAGACATGGTTCTAAAATGCATCAATTCTACTTGTTGGTGTATTACCCCACTGGTAAGTTGCTTACTTCTTTTATTCTTTCATTTTTAAATTAGCATGATCATTAGACAAACATTTTTACTTATGTTTTATACCTAGATGTGCTCTTTTAAGCAACTGAAGTAAATTAAGTAGGTGGTTTCACTTCACAGGAAGATTTTTTTTTTAGAAGTTGAGTTGAAATCATCATTTTATCAACTGTTACAACTTAGGGAAGTTTAATAATATGATGATGGTGATGATCATTGATAATGTCTTTTGAAATCCATTTACATGTGATGGGATGATAGGTGAGTAGCATCAGAGTTAAGTTATAGGGCCCATGTAAGTAAATGACTATGTAGTGAGCTCATTCATGAATTCATTATTGCTACAACTAAAATATTATTATTGCTAAAAAATAATACTATTGCTACAAATAAAATTTTAGTGAAGTGATGATGAACATTGTGGTTTTACTAATTATTATTAATCTAACATGGCTGACACTGGTATGGGTAGTGTGGTAGGCAGAATTCTGATATGGCAATCATGGTCTCCACTCCCACCCCCCTACTACTATAATGATTATGTTACATAGTGAAAGGAATTTTTCAGGTATAATTGAGGTAATTAATCTACTGACATTAAAATAAAGAAATTATTCAAGTAGACCTGACTTGATCACATGAACTCTTTACAAGGAGAGAGTTTTCACTGGCTGTCAGTGGGTTTCAAAGCAGGAAAAGGATTTGATGTGACAAAGGTTCTGTGTTTCTGAGATGGAGGGGCCCCGAAAGTTGCCTCCTGCTGAGAACTGTTCAGAATAGTTCCTGGCTGGCAGCCAGCAAGAAAATAGGGACTTTATCCTACAACCATAAGTAATTGAATTCTGCCAAAAACAGGCATAAGCTTGGAAGAGAACGCTCGGTTCCAGATGAGAACACAGATGATCGACACCCCGATTTTAGCCTTATGAGACCCTGAGCAGAGAACCCAGCCATATCTTCCTGGATGTTTGATTCGCAGAACTGTAAGATTATAAATAGATGTTGTTTTAAGCCAATGAATTTGTGATAAATTTTCAGACGGCAATAGAAAGCTACTATGAGTGATTTTTCTATTAATTGGAAGTTCAAAGGATTCATAGGGATAGGTTGGTGAAGAGATTCTTGTAAGCAAAAATGAGTAAATTCAACTGGGAAACTGGGAAGACCTTGGATTTAAACATTTCAAATATCACGCTTCTTCTATTCTCTACAAAGAAGAACAACATATAATCAGAAAAGAAAAAAAGTAATTGATAAGTATAAAAATTAAAAAAAGATTTGCATAAAATCTACATTTTGATACAAATTTTAAACATAAATAAAATGAATTTTTGTCCTTTATAAAATTTGTCTTTATGATGGATGCTATTAAATTTGAATAAAAATTTAATGTTAAAATTCTGAACTTCTAAGTTTGCCTTGCAATAGAACCCCAATAAGAACATTGGATCTGAAATTAATGTCTCAATAACAGTAGCAATTTTAAATTGAGAAACATGAGGAATATGTGGAAAGAAAGAAAACAAAATGAATTGATTCAGAATAAGTTTAGAAAGTTTTTATGTAATAAATTTATTAAACTGATAACAACATAGCCTATTAACATATCACTCTATCTTAATTGGGAAATCTGAATTAATAGCTATATGAAATAACAAATACATGTAAAAATTATTGTCAATATTTAACAATAATAAATGTGCAGAAATACTGAAGCATACAGTGCTTTCATGGAAACCAATTTTAAAGTATCTATTCATAGTTTCAGCTGTTTTAAATAAGTTTTGGAGTGTGGTAGATCTAACATAAGAGGCATTTTCAACATTCATAATATATATGACATGTGTTCATTTTTTAAAGAAGCTTAGCTATCTAGATAGGTAAAAAAAGTCATAATATTATAAAAATATTACTTCAAGAGCAAAAAATATTTCCTGGTAGAAGTTTTACTTTATATAATATTAAGAATCTGTGTCAAAGGAATAAATGAAATGAGGTGTTTATTTCATATTTATTGCTTTTATTTTGTTAGATAGATAGGAGCACTAGTATTATATTTTATGTAAGTGGTGATACATGGCATTATTGTCTTGCTTCTGACTTCATTAGGGGTGTTTCCAGGTTTTATTATTCTCCTGTATGGTTGCTGTGGCTTTCTGTTAAACAAATTTTACAATGGTAAGAAATTCCTTTCTTTTTTTCCTAAATTTCTACTAGGAAATTTTTCTCACTTCTTTACTTTCTGAAAAAAAGAAAAAAAAAAAAACAGTTGTGAAATAGCTAAAGATTCTCTATTCCTTAAAGAACTTATAAAATTTGTCCATAAAGATCTTCAGGTATATTGTCTTTTAAATGAGGAAGTTTAAATCACTAATTAAATGTATTAATATTAATATTTCCTAGTTACTTGTGAGTCAATTTTATCAATTTATACTCTTCTAGAAAAATGTCTATTACATGTAAGTTTGTAAACTTATCTCCATAGAATTGTTCAATGTTATTTCTTATTTTAAAAACTAGTCTTTAATCAAAGATGACATAATTATCCATGTATCTCAGAGTCAGAAAGGCCCCAAGATATCAAAGCATCTGAAGTACAAAAAAAAAGGGAAAGCATAGTTAATACATGTATATATACATGGGTTAGTATGCTCAGATATATATCTTTGCTCTGCCAACTGAGAGAATCTAAAAAAATAAAGCCCTAGTAGCAAGAAGCACATATAACACCAAGATCGTGGTTTATTATAATATCATTCTCTAATAAAAGTAACTAGAAATATTTGGGAAAATGGTTTATTAAAGAACTGGAACAGAAAATATATAAGGTGAGTCTGGAGCATCTTGTATTAAACAGTACCAAAGAGTAAAAAAGTGCTAAAAAGTACTAATAAAAAACCCAAACAAACTAGCCCCCGCCCAATTCCACAATGAGAATGTCTCAAAGAGTCAAGTAAAAGAGATCCTAATAGCCAAAGCTGGAATAATGTGAGGAACAAAACCAGTAAAGTAGCATTGTATTATAACCAAAGGTATAAAATAAGTATTTATGAGTTCATACAGATATAAATAAATCATTGAATAAGTTAATAATAGGGTAGGACAGCCAAATTTCCCGTGGGAAAAGAATATCAAATAACTTAAGTGGATAATACTCTCTCAAAAAGGAAGAACATAACTTCCCACTTCTTAGGTATGGGTTGCTAACATAGTGACTTCCTACTAAAGAGTACAGTATAAAAACTGGGTGAAAAAATTAACTTTATAGTGGCAAAACCTGAACAACTCCACCTTATCAAAGTGATCAATATCAAAAGTAGATAAATCATATTTGATATTATATACCCTTGATCTGATATGATGAAAATTACACTTTAGCATTGTGGTCTTCCCCCCAGAAACCTGTAACATCAGTTTAATCATGAGAAAAACAGATAAATTCCAATAGAGGTGCTTTCGCAAAACACATATTTAGTACACCTCATAACTGCCAAAGTCATGCAAATAAGGAAAGTCTGAGAAAATATCACAGACAAGAGGAAGGAAACATGACAACTGAATGTAATGTGGCATCTTGATTGAGATCCTGGAACAGAAAGAGAACATTAAGTGAAAACAAAATAAATCTCTATAAAGTATGGCCTTTGTTAGTATTAATACTATATCAATATTTGTTCATTAATTATAACAAAGTACCATACAAATGGAAGAGGCTAACAATAGGGCAACTGTATGTAGAGCTAAAGGAGGTATATGGATATTCTTTATACCATCCTCTAAATAATTTTGTTAATATAAAAGTCTCCTGAAAAGTAAAGTCTATTATTCAAAAAACATCAAAAAAGAAGGCAAATAAAAATTTAAAATATAATGGCATTAACAAAACTAAATGCATCAACAATCACAGTAAAATAGAAGGATAAAAGGAGACATTCAGTAATGATAAATTTTATTGTACACTAGGAATACATTAAAATAATAAAAATATTAAAGAACTGCTGCTATAGTTCTATATTTGCTTGTAATTTTTTGTCATATCTTTTTGTCCTAGATTAATCTTAATGCATATATTTCTCTTCTTAGTTTGTTCATAGTTTGCTCTACTTGATCATTTTTAGTTTTTTTTTCTTTACTTTCTTTGTATTTGTATTTGATCTCTAGTTTGCTGTCTGTCTTCTTGAATTAATGACTTCATTTATCAGTTTCCAGTTTCCTGATATTTTTACTTTTTCCTTTTTCTTAATTTCAAAATATTATAGGGGTACAAATGTTTTTGTTTACGTGTATCCATTTTATTATGCCTGAGTCAGGGTTATAAGTGTGTCCATCACCCAGATAGTGTTCGTTGTACCAATTAGGTAGGTTTCCATCCCTCCCCCCTCCCTCCTGCTTCATTTCCTTTGAGTTTTGTTTCCCACTGTACATGCGTACTCATCAGTTAGTTTCAATTTAGTAGAAGTGCATGTAGTGTTTGTTTTTCCATTCTTTAAATACTTCACTTAGGATAATGGTCTCTAGTTCTATCCAAATTGGTGCAAAAGACATTACATAATTCTTCTTTATGAGTAGTATTCCAATAGTATATATGTACCTCATTTTGTTAATCCACTCATGAATTGATGGGCACTTGGATTGATTCGACATCTTTGCAGTTGTGAATCATGCAGCAATAAACATTTACATGCAGGGGTCTTTTTGATAAAATAACATCTTTCCCTTTGGGTAAATATCCAGTAGTGGGATTTCTGGATCAAATGGTAGGTCTACTTTTAGTTCTTTGAGGAATCTCCATACTGTTTTCCATAGAGGCTGTACTAATCTGTAGTCCTACCAGCAGTGTATAAGCATTACTTTATCTCTGGATCGATGCCAGTATCTGTTATTCTTGAACGTTTTAATAAAAGATATTCTAACTGTGGTAATGTGATATATCATTATTGAGGGGTTTTTTATTGTTGTTGTTGTTTTTTATTTTTTTGAGACAGAGTCTCACTCTGTTGCCAGGGCTAGAGTGACGTTACATCAGCCTGGCTCATAGCAACCTCAAACTCCCTGGCTCAAATGATCCTACTGCCTCAGCCTCCTGAGTAGCTGGGACTATAGGCACACGCCACCAAGTCCAGCTAATTTTTTCTTATATTTTTAATTGTCAAGATACTTTCTTTCTATTTTATTTTTTCATTTTAGTAGAGATGGGGTCTCACTCTTGCTCAAGCTGGTCTTGAACTCCTGAGCTCAAACAATCTGCTTGCCTTGGCCTCTAAGAATGCTAGGATTACAGGTGTGAGCCACCACATCCAGCCTCATCGAGGTTTTAATTAATGACATTGAACATTTTTTTCATGTTTATTGGCCGTCTGTCTATCTTCTTTTGAAAAGCCTCTGTTCATGTCTTTACTCACTTTTTAATGGGGCTGTTTGTTTTTTCTTGCTGATTTGCTCGAGTTCTTTGTAGATTGTGGTTATTAGCCCTTTATCAGATGTATAGCTTGTGAATATTTTCTCCAATTCTATAGGTTGTCTGTTTACTCTGTTATTTCTTTAGCTGTGTAGAAACTTTTAAAATTTAATCAGGTGCCATTTATTTATTTTTGCTATTGCTGTGAGTGCCATTGGGGTCTTCTTCATAAATTCTTTGCCTAGATCAATATCCAGAAGAGTTTTTCCAATATTTTCTTCTTGAGTTCTTATGGTTTCATGCCTCACATTTAAGTCATTAATCCTTCTTAATTAACTTTTCTGAGTGGTGAGAGATATGGGTCCTATTTCATTCTTCTGCATGTGGCTACCCAATTTTCCCAGCACCATTTATTGAATAGGGCTTCTTTTCTCCAGTGTATTAACATATTGTTTTTTGCTTTGTCAAAGATCAGTTGGCTGTCTGTGTGGTTTTATATCTGGTTTCTCTATTCTGTTTCATTGGTCTATGTCTCTATCTTTGTGCCAATACTATGCTGTGTTGGTTACTATAGCCTTGTAATATAGTTGGCAGTCTGGTAATGTGATGATTCTAGATTTCTCCTTTTTGCTTAAGATTGCTTTGCAGGCTATTCAGGCTCTTTTCTGGTTCCAAACAAAGTGTAGAATTATTTTTTCTAGATCTATGAAAAATGATGTTGGTATCTTGATGGGAATTGTATTGAATCTGTAAAATGACTTTGGGAAGTAAGGATATTTTAACAATATTGATCCATGAACATATGTTTTTCTACTTGTTTGTGTCATCTGCAATTTCTTTCCTCAGTGTTTTGTATTATTCTTTTCATAGATCTTTTACCTCCTTGGTTACATATATCTCAGTATTTTATTTTCTTTGTAGCTGTTTTGAATGATATTGAATCTTTAATTTGACTCTGGGCATGAGTATGGTTGGTGTATAGGAATGCTACTGATTTGTATACTTTGATTTTATAACCTGAGACTTTGTTGAATATATTTATCAATTCAAGGAGTCTCTTGGTGGAGTCTCTGGGATTTTCTAGATATGAGATCATATTATCAGCCCTGATATTTTTAAAAACACAATTAAGATATTCATTTTTTCTAAATAGCACTAACTGCATTATACAATATGTGATTCAAAGAGTTTTATTTTATTGAGTTCTAAATACTTGTGTTCCATTTTGCCTATGAGTGTTTTAAATGTGATGATAGTAATTAACAAGTTCTTCCTCAATGTCTGTAATTTTGAATTTTATGCTGTCTTTATATTTTTTCATATCAAATCAAGAGAAATTAAAATAATTTGCCAAAAAATTTTAAAAATAAAATGTGTGTTTAATTCTCTAGATAAAGTTCTTTTTGTCTTTTATTTTTTTAAGATGGGCTCTCACTGTGATCAGGCTGGTGTCAAACCCCTGAGCTGTAGCTATCCTCCTGCCTCAATGTTCCAGAAAGCTAGGATTACAGGTGTGAGCCAATGCACCTGACCTAGATACAGTTTTTAAAACAATAACTATTTATTAATTTTAAAAAATGTCAGATATCTATTATTTGCCATTGTTATAGACCATTGGAGTACATCAGTGAGAAAAAAAATGACAAAATTCTCAGATTTTGTGAAGCTTATATTTGATAGCATGTTCGGTGTATTTTCTTGTTGTTGATTTCCATTGTTAGATAATGGAGTCTATGTGATACTGATATTTAAAAAATTAAATTGAAAATTCCTGTGCAGTCTAATTTATGTTCACCTTTTTAAGGGTTTTATATTAGCTTGAAAAGAGTATATATTTTCTGCTTCTTGGGTAGAAGGCTCAGAATGTGTTAACTATGTTGTTCAAATCTTCCATAGGTTATAAACTATTTTTCTCTGTTTGTTCTAGAAGGTCCTGAGAAAGATGTATATATAATTTATCTATCAATGCTGTGGTGGATGCTCTAAAAAACATAGTCTGAGAAAAGTACTAAAAGGAAAAAGGGAAAAGAAAAGAAAACCAAGGTAAGAAATACAATCTAAAGCTAATTAATGTGTTACCAAGATAGGTGTTGCTTCAAGCCTTAAAGAGAAACAGCTGGTGGCTCAACAGATATATCTGCTCAGCACACAGGATTCCTCTGGAGCAACCATACTTAAGCATAGCCCATGAGAAAGAGTCGGGGTTATGGACTCAATTGTGTCCCCCCAAATTCATATGTTGGAACCCCAACCCCTGATGTTACTGTATTTGAAGATAGAGTTTTGAAAGAGGTAATTAAGTTTAATAAAATCATATGCGTGGGTCCTTGATATGACAAGATTGGTGTCCTTATAAGAAAAGGAAAAGACACCATGGATGTATGCACACAGAGGAAAGGCAATATAAGGATATGGCAAAAAGGAGAAGGAGAGAGGCCTCTGCATGCCAAGGAGATTGGCCTCAGGAGAAACCAAACCCGCTGACACATTGACCTTGACCTTCCAGCCTCCAGAACTGTAACAAAATAAATTTTTGTTTCTTTAAGCCACCCAGTCTGTGATTTCTAATATAACAACCTTAGCAGATTAATAGAAAGGAGAATTTATCTTCCAAGCTCCTTCCTGTCTCTTTAACCTAGGAGTTAAAGTTCATCCATCTACCAGGTTTCCAAGTCTCCGTACTTAAATACTTCAACATTCTTTGTAGAGCAGCTCAGAATGTCATACCCCATGCTTCTTAGTAGTGTTTCATCCAAGTCTGGAAATGCCAATGCAGATGGAAACTCCAGGTGTATAGCTGGTTGGCTGAGATATGCAGGTATCCAAAGATGGATTGCTGCCACTTACAGGGCAAGTGAATATTCAGTCCTGTATATGGCAGTGTGTTATAGGAAATGAGTCACAGTATAAATTTAAGGAGATTATTAAGATATGGGTCCTCTACAATAGGGGAGATGGGAAAGTTAGTTCCCAAATTCAAAGGGCCATATTAGCTGGAAATCTAGTAAAAAGAAATTTTATTCTCATTTCTCTTATCTTTATTTTCATTTTACTTAAATGAACACATTTCATATTTACAAATATAATGAACTGTTGGGATTATGTAGTTTAACATTCTAATTTTAGCAGTGAGAAAACTCTAAAACCCACAGAAGTGACATTACTTCCTTAATTTGGTGATATTAAGGAGTTTGCTTTACCTAACTTGCTTAGCCTTGGAATTTGGTCCTTAATTGCTTGTAAAATTCAAGCATCTTCCCATTATTCCATACTTATGTGCTATGAGGATATGTCAATAAAATATAACAGGAAATGTGGCATTGAGAACCTGTAAGGTTTCATATGGCACATAAATTGAGCTATTTACTTTTGTTTTCCAAATATGGTATCTACTATAGTAGCATTTGATGGAATGAGGTGTTTGGTATAAAAACGCCAAGCTTTAATGTTGACTTGAAAGTTAGTGGATGAAACCAATCATTCTCTTACACTGAACTGGAGGAAAAGGTCAATTACCAGAGAAAAAAAGATGAGCTGAGGCTTAGATCTAACTGGAATTGGATAAGTGGGGTTAATGAACTTGCCTTGGTGGCCATCTTGTATAATTAATTTTTCTGAAAAGGCATATTAAATTTCAAAAAGTTTTAATTAAGAGAAAAAATTATGATTATTTGAAAATTTGAGAACTAAGGGGAAAAAAGGATTAAAAAATCATTGCAAGCTAAAACACCAAAAATATACCAGGTATTTTTTAAGTATCCAAGCTAACAAAATTATGAGACTATGATATAACTTGGGGGCCCTGTTTTTTAAAATGATCAACAACTTTGCTTTTTAAAAGTAATCAACAGCAAAAATACATATTCTGTGTTTGAGAATATAGCAAGAGCAAAATTACAAAAAAAAAAACAACAATTACAAAAAAAGAAGTCAGATTTTGTTCTTTATTGCCACTGCAACTAGAAGCAAATATTACTGTTTCCTGGTTTGATATCCAGTGAATAGGTGATAGCTTGCAGTTCATCCAAAATTGTTCATATGCAATCAGTAGGCACAATGCCTATATGACAGCTCTTCATTTAGTTTAATTTACAGTAACTCACATGCATTAATATCCTTGTAAGCTCCCTGGTGTCCCATTTCTGGCAGTGTGTGTGTCTCACTTTCTCTGTATGAGATTCCCTTGTGAAATATTTGGGAACTCTATGATGGAAAGCATCAGAAAGAGGATGCTGTTTGGAGGAGTCATTTTTTATATGGTTGACTAGGTAATCTGTTACTCAAAAGGTGATAAAAACATGTAGTGTGGATAAATCATTTCAATATTTATTGAAAACTTTATAATAGCATATTGTGTTGAAAATAAGACCATTGAATAAATGTAATATCATTTGTTTTTCTTATTATATTTCATTCCTAGACATCACGTATATTTATTAAGTTCACAGTATATGTAAAACACAGCAGTATATATTTTAGCAATTCAAATTGATTGTAAGAAATTCCATTTTCACCAGTATGAAGGAATAGATACCTCCTATAAGAAAACAACTATGAATATTTGATAAACTGTAAAGAGTTGTCTATTTATTTATTTATTCATTTACATTAGGAGGCTCATAAATTTTTATTCTATGCAATTGATTATATTCAACTAATATCATTTTTTTAATGTTCAAAGCATATCATATTTATTCAGTTGGACCCTCTTAAATCTGGCTTTTATGTCATTTTGATTTGTTGTCATGATTCTTTAAATATTTTGTTATTGAAGACAATAAAAACCATTTCAGGCTCATTTATTAATTTCCATTTTCCAGGCCTAGAATCAGCTTTTTCCTTAAAATCTCTGATAACATTTAATAGAAAATGGTATTTAGGGACCAAGATCAGTGTATTAGGTGAGCTCTTTGCTAGTCGTGTCATTGCTTCTATCTAATCTCCTCTCTGTAACAAATGCTTTATCTTTTAATACTGTCTCACAATTTCTAAGATTTTGTTACTTAGTTTTCAGTGTTTTATTTTTCTTTCATTATTAAGCTGGCATAATTTCATTGATCTGTCTTCAAGTGCATGAACTCTTTTCTCTGTCATTTTATAGATATATTACTATCAAGTGAATGTATTTTAAATTCAGATATTAAATTTTTTATACTAAATTTTTTATTAAAGTTTTTATTTGTAAGCTGAATGCTTATATCTTTCCATTCATTTCAAGAGTGTTTATTTTTACCTCAAGGAACATGGTTATAATAGGTACTTTAAAGTTGTTAACTGATAATTACAACCTTTGGGATATTTTGAAATCGACTTGGATTGATTATTTTTACCCTTTGGTTTTTTTTTTTTTTTTACATTTTCCTGGCTCTTTGTATGTCTAGTAATTTTAGATTTATCCGAGAAAATTTGAAATTTATGTTGTGAAATTTTTGCCCCATTAGTATTCTCTACAAAGTTGATTTTTGTTTGTTTTTGCAGGCAATCAACGTGCTTAAGTTTAGTCCACATTTTTGTTTATCACCTTCCGTGGACAATGGTTCCAATTTCAGTTTAGTTTTGTAGCCAATCCATAATGACTCAGCTCTACTTTGCCCATGTTCCTCTTAGAGGTCTGTCTGGGTTTGGGGCTATAGTTTACTTTATAGTTAGTTTTCAACATGTTCTGTGTTGTCTTGGTTTTATCTTATGCATGCTCAATTTGGGCATAAGCTCAAGAGTTATATCAATTAATATACAGAATTAGGGCATCCTTTTCTCCAGATCACTTCATGGAGATTTTCTCTATACTTTCCAGTTTTGGGGAGCCCCTTTTCTTGATTCTCTAGCTAGAAAAATAGGGTTTCTCTCAAAAACTTTGTTTCCCTCTGCTAATAATTTTCAACTCCTTGGGATCACCTTCAGGGGAAAGCAGCAAGTGAAAAAAAAAAGCAGAAAAGTTAACAGTGATCTCCCCTCCCGTATTTGTTGCACAAGTTCTCCTTTTCCTGCTTTCTCTGATCAGAAAAAAGAATTTTTCCCTCAAGATGTTTCATCAAAGCAGAAATATGGGGAAAATGGAAATTCTCTCAAAATGTTTAGTTCAATTTTCTTTGACGACCCTTGCTAAGATTTTTATAAATTTTATAATTATTTTCAAAAAGTTAACTTTTGGTTTTGTTAATTCTTTTGATTTTTTCTTTTGAAGTGTTCTATTCTTATTTTTTGTTATTCCATAAGTAATTTTTATTCATCTTTAAAATTTTGATGTGGTGTATTTTGTTGTGATTTATTTCAAAATATTTTTTATATTTTCCTTGTAATTTGATTTGTGTTTATTCAAGTGTATGTTGATTAATTTTCTTAGTGCAGTATTTCTCAATATAATGTTGAATATTTAGTTTTCAAATAAAAATTGTATACATTCAAGGTGTGCATGTGATGGTTTTATATATGTATACATTGTGTAATGATTACTATAATCAAATTAATTAACACGTCTATCACTACCCATGCTATACATTAGATCCCCAGAAATTATTCATCTTGTACTTAAAAGTTTGTTCAAATTTGACCATTTCCCCATTTCTCCCATACCCTAGGCCCTGGCAACCACCATTCTACTCTCTGCTTCTATGAATTTTATTGTTTCAGATTCCACATACAAGTGAGATCATGCTGTATTTGTCTTTCTGTGTCTGGCTTATTTCACTTAGCATAATGTTCTCCAGGTTTATCCATGTTGTTATAGAACAGACATAATAATTGCTTTAAATCCATCGTTCAATTTTACATCTGAGTCATCTCTAGGTTTGTTTCTATTGGTCTCATTTTTACTGAAGTTCTCATGTATTATTTACATGTGTAGTATTTTTGAGTGCTAATTACTAAAAAAATTAGATAATATAGAATCTCTTGATTTTGTTATCTTCTGTTGAAGTGTACCAATTTCTTATCTGTTGTGCAATTAACTGGGCTTTACTGAAATTCAATTCTCACTTGAAAAAAGCTAGAACCTCTGCCTAGTTATTTCAGCCTTCCAGCTATGGCAGTTCACCTTAAAATATCCATGCATGTGCAGATTAGAAGTCAGACAAAATGTAGGTGGTGTTCATATGGAGCTTTTATGGCTTCTCCTTCTGAGACTATCTCTTTCCATGGATTTTTTCCCTTCATTTTCCATCCATT